GCTTGGAACTGTAAAAGATGACTCAACCCCCGGGGGACTCCCTTATAAAAAAGGGCGGGGGTCCTCGCCGGGAATTCTGAAAATGACCCCTAAAGGGGAATTGTGTCGTGAGATGATTGACGTGGCAGCGCTGAAATTTCACCCTTAGGAGGGACTAATCAATAAACGGTTATTTTGTTTTGGTTTCCCGATTTTAGTTGTTTTTGCACAAGCATCAAACGCCGTTGGCTCGTATTGAGTTTATGAGGACTTTGTCATATACAAATTATATGACGGCTTAGAATTAGGGCCGTCGTATACCCAAAAAGGGACTACAAAACTCTGTTGGTGGGAATTCTCGTCATTATCACCCTAAGCAGGACGAAAACACTGATTTCAAACCCTAAAAGGGACGACGAGGACCCCCGCCCTTTTATATCAAGGAGTCCCCCCTTCCCCGGGACTCAACATCGTTCTCCGGTCCTTTATTCCTTCGCTTGGTTTCAAGCGAAGAGATAAAGGGCCTGGGGACGAGGTTGAGGATGGCTATAAAGTTGAGGAACATCCAGTTTTCCAGAGGCAACTATCACAGCAAAATGCCCGAGATGTTAACTGCTCTATTGTTTTTATTATTCAAAAACGTAAGATACTGGACGCAATATTTGGATAGGGGGACGGGAGGGTATGGTGACCTATGAATAGATGCAATATGATGGCGTGGGGCGGAAAAAATATAATGTGACGAAATAAAGACACCTGACCCGTCTACAGTTATCTCTTTATTGACTATTTTAATAAAACTATTTAAATAATAGAGTAGTTGAATCGAGGCCATTATACTGTGATAGTCATGTCCGCGGAAACTGGATGTTCCGAAAAAATAATAGCCGCCGAAACGAGTTCGAGGGCGACTTTGATGTTTTGGGGAACATCCATGCAGTTTCCAAGGGCAACTATCACAGCAAAATGCCCGAGACTGATTCGACTGCTCTATTGTTTTGCACTGATAGTAGGCCTCCGCGGCGGACACGGCTATCACGTCACTATCAGTCAAACTCTCGACCAGTGAGAGTGTTGGGAAATTTATATTATAAATTGAGGAGGGAAGGGATTCCATTCATCAAATTAAGACTAACGAGAAAAATATTAAGACAAGTGTATTCATCATATTCGTGAGACACTTTACCTTTTATTGAATACTCCAGTTTCGAATACTCCGGTTTCGATTTCTTGTTTGCTCTGTGTTAGCCTCAAAACCAAGCAACATATTCTTTTGTTTCATTGATAGCCCGAGAAAACGCATGGAACGCATGAAAAGAAAGACAATAGAATTGGTTTGAAATCTCACACTTTTATTCTCACAATTAGGAATATTTGCGCGCAAATGAGGCTAACACAGAGCATTGGAGAATTCGAAACTGGATTATTCATAGCGCAAAACCGCTGCTTTATTTGACAACAGATTCTCTTGCGCAAAGACCTCACAAACACAAAAGAGAGCACGAGAAAATGTCGTTATTACAATAGACTTGAAAATTTGCATTTTCACCGAGTTGAGACTAACCCTGTATTCCCATGAGACCTAAGCTATGAGCCTTCTGGGAATACAGGGTTAGCCTCAACTCGGGGAAAATGTAAATTGTTACCGCTATTGTACAAGCAACATTTTCTCGTGCTTTCTTTTGTGTTTGGTAAGTTCTTTGCGTAAGAGAATCTTCTGTCAGATAAAACAGCGGTTATTCGCTTTGAATTCGAAACTGGAGTATTTGTGAGATTTGTACTATATTTGCCCAATTTTATCCATATCAAATTGTTTCGAGGATATACTGGAATGCACTCTGTTGAGAGCACAGGTAGCCCAAGGTCTTTACTTGATACATAAAGAGAGAATGTATACAATGTGAGTCTATGTAAACAGTCGATTATAGCATTTTACGATTATATGGAAACCAGGCTTTAAGATACATTAAATTTCGCTGGAACTTGCTGTGTGGATTATGCCGGTTTCATCGAGCCAGTTGATTTTCCTGATTACTCCAGCCTTTGTTTTTCCTCCCGGTACAGTAGATTTTTTGCATTTTTCTGTACAGACATTTCTCGTACACAGTGGCAAATATGGCGGTTTTTGGCACGGATTTTACTTGTCTTAGGAGAGCTCATGGCTCAGGAAAATCAACTGGCTCGATGAAACAAGTATTTCTGCAGTGTTAAGTTATTAGTTGARAGCTGTGCAAAGGCACATTGCGTTAGGATTTGAATTTCTACGAAAAAATCGACCAAATTTAGAGGATTAGAGCTGTTCGAAATGGATATGGAGGACTTCGATTCCTACCCTGTAACAGATTATAGTAAGAAGGGAAAATAATTAATTCATGGAAGTTATGAAAATCGCTCCAGATATTACCGGTAACTATAATAATCCACACAGCAAGTTGCAGCGAAATTTATGCTATAAATCGACTGTTTACATAGTCTCACATACAATTCTCTCTTATATCAAGTAAAGACCTTGGGCGAGATGTTCCTACCTGTATCTACGATAACTTCAAGCACTTTGACCATTACACCTACCAGTCCCTCCCAGGCAAAAATCCCTTACGGCAGCTTTTAGACAATTCCATCTCCAATAAACAATAAAATATGATCGACCAATGAAACTTGTACTTGCTACAGTTATCAGTACTCCACCTGAGCAAAGTTTGTGTCCATTTCGACCTTGGAGAAAACACAGGATCATTGCAATAGCCAATTTGCATTATGGCTTCATTTACTACAATTCCCAGAATACTTTTCCAATTTCCTTATGTAATGCAATTAGTGCCAATTGTTTTATTAATCTCCAAGGGGATTAAKAATCTGAATATAACAATGAAAAATGCACAAGGCTCTCTGGTAGTTGTAGTAAAGTTGCACCATCATGCAAATGGGCTATTATAGAAAGAAAGACTTGTATCCCTCACATGCTTTAAGGGGATGCTGCGAAGGAGACTGTGCGATCAGTGGGGAGGGATGGATTGTTCTTAAGCTGTTATTGTAATGATGGTATCGAACATAAGCATTTCCACAAAACCAAATGAGAGTGAAATACTACCTTCCCATTACTTACTTACTTACTTAGGCCCTATTACCCCCTGCGGAGCATAGGCCATCGATCAACTTCCRCCAGCGTATCCCGTTCTGGGCCTTCCTCCCTATCTCAGTCCAATCCAAACCTTCCCATACGCACGCAAAAATCATCATTCTATGCTAAAAAATAAACACAACTTTACATTTCAATGCATGTCTTGATTATTTGACTTCGGTACATTTGAAACGTCTAAGGTTTGATAGTCTCCTTTACAGCCTCCCCTTTTTTCGTGCTGGAACAGGAAGCCCGACAAAAGAGTAGGCCGCATAGGAGAATACAGGTGTGAGAGATACGCCACGAATAACGTCAAAGGACTGGAGCCGAACAAGAATTTCGTCATATACTGCACAACACGACCGAGTCGTGGGTAGCGAGTACTAAGCTGTACTAAGGT